TGGGTTCAACTCCTTGCTTTAGCAATTCAGGGGCTGGGACGGCTTCAGAGACTGACATGTTCAACCCCCCCCGACCCCCAAAGGGATCGATTGCCCCTACCAGTACATGCCCGCAGCCTCGTCTACATGTTTGATGGCCATAAAGTATTGCTATGCTTCATCTCGTGGCAACCACTGGGTCGCACATGTCGTTGTTGGGTTGGTTGCTTTCGTGCACCTGCCTGTCAAGTCAGCAGAGAATGGCCAACATTGAGTGAGTTTAACTCGTTATTTTCCATGGGCGAGCAAAACCCGATTCATGCAGAAACGCAACTCCGATCTTGAGAAGGCTCTTGCGAGCTGATTGGGACCCTCTAGCAGGCAGGCCAGTCACAGCCTTGGACCATTCGGAAGCCACACCGTTGGGGTATCGCTTTCAGGTTACCAATTGATTTGGTTGAGGGTTGGGCGGGAAACCTCCGAAATCCAAACCTCGAGGCACGGTGCCGGTAGAGGCCACTGAGAAGGCCGACCGCGTTTCCGGAGAGTCGGCATGCCTTTTTTCGGGGGCTTCTTGTTCGTGGGTTTGAAAGCGAAAGGATACCAGATCCATTTTGGGGATTTGATCCAATTTGAGAGTTGAACATAGACGGTGCTGGCTCAAGTCCCGGAAGGGCGAAGCAGGCGGGCGGAAGTTTCAAACATGTAAGAATTTCAGTTTTTGTTTCTGTTCTTTCCTTCTTGCTTTTTCCCTTTCTCTTTGTTTCTTTTCTCTCTCTCTCTCTCTCTTTTCTCTTCCTTCATTTGTTCTTTCTCTTGTTCTTCCTCTTTCCTGTCGTTTTTTAAATGTATCTTGCTCTTGTTTCCATGTTTCCATCTATCCATCTATCCATCCATCCATCCATCTACCTATCTATTTGTTTGATCTATGTATCTAATCTACGATCTACCCATCTAATCTAATTAAACCTAGCCTAATCTAATCTAATCGAATCTAATCCAATGTATCTATCTGTCTGTCTATCTACCTAGCCGTTTGTCTGCTTATCAGTCTATCTGTCTATCTGCATATCTGCCTATCTGTCTATCTATCTATCTATCTATCTATCTATCTATCTATCTATCTATTTATCTATCTTAATCAATCAATCCACTCCACTCCACTCCACTCCACTCCACTCCACTGCACTGCACTGCACTGCACTGCACTGCACTCCACTCCACTCCACTCCACTCCACTCCACTCCACTCCACTCCACTCCACTCCACTCCACTCCACTCTGCAGATTTCGTTACAGGCTCAACTTTCGCGAGGTCATCTGCGGATTTTGTGGCAGGGGCAGCACTTTCACAAGGTCAGGCATAGATTTCGTGGCAAGCGAAGCACTGTCGCAAGTTCAAATGTTGATGCTGTGGCAGGCGCAGCGCCTGCTAAGGTAGATAAGTAAATAGATAGATGGATAGATAGATTAGGTAGATAGATTGACAGTTAGATTGATTGATTGATTGATTGATTGATTGATTGATTGATTGATTGATTGATTGATTGATTGAGTGATTGGTTGATTGATTGGTGGATGGATGGATGGATAGAGAGAACTGCATCAGATAGGATAAAACAGATAGAGAAACATGAGAGATGGACCAAGTAGATTATATAGATAGCAGACAAATGGACAGACAGAGACAGATTAGATAGACTAGACAGACTGGATAGATGGATGGATAGACGGATAAATGGATAGATGAATAGATGGATAGATGGATAGATGGATAGATAGAATGACAGGTTAATTAGATAGATAAGATGAGCTAGATTACATAGGCTAGATAGATCGACAAATAGATAGATAGATAGATAGATAGATAGATTAGATTAGATTAGATTAGATTGGATTGGATTGGATTCGATTCGATTCGATTAGATTAGATTTGATTTAATTTGATTGGATTGGATTGGATTGGGGTGGAGTGGAGTGGAGTGGAGTGGAGTGGAGTGACTCGCCTGCCAGGGAACTGGCACCTAACTTGCGAAAGTGCTTGCGCCTGCCACGAAATGTTTGCCGCGCTTTGCAAAAGTGCTGCGCCACGAAATCCGTACCTCACCTTGCGAAAGTGCTGCGCCTGCCACGCAAACCAATGGCTCGCATTGCGTGCGCGTCCGTGCCAATTGGCCTGGGTCTGAGACTTCTCGGGACTGGTCCGAACGCGCTCCAGCCAGGCGTCGCAATCAGGCTAACTTCCGAGCACCCTAAAGCAAAGAAACTCGCAGAGGGTTGCACGTGTTTCACAATTCTTTTCCCCCGCGCACGTGCACTTTTCTCACAGGGGCTCGTTGTTCTCTTGTCATTTGTCTCCGGGAGCTAGCTTTCCATTAGTTCCAGTACCCTTTTAAACTTTTCTTGGCGATCGTGTTTGTCTTGGCCAACATGGCAACTAGTGGCATCTGCCTTTTAGGGCGGATGGGTCATTTTTTGGAGGCAGGCTTCCATCAAAGTGCTCCTACCCCTCCACTGAGCAGGTTGGAAGACCAAGCTTCAGGTTGCGCTGATTGGCTTTCTTTGCCTGCCTCACAGCGCAACTTCCGAAGATTTCTGTGGCGCAGGTGTGCCCAAAAAGTGGACCAAGGCTTCAGCTACATCGGCTTGGATGAAGCTCGTGTCGTATGGGTGGTTTTCCGTGGCCTTACAGGTTTTCCGGCGTACCGCCGCCAGGCACACAGGCCCTGAGCCCACCGTGCAGCATTGGATTGGTTATGCCTCGAGTGGGTTCCCTCCGCAAGCAAAATGATCCAACTCCTCCCCCTGTTTGTCAATCGAAATGTTCACCAACCGCTCTCATCATGTATACACATGTGCTTACATGTTAATTGGTCTGACTACAGAGAGGTTCTTCCTGTATTTGCGTATACGTTTGCGTTAAACGCATCATGTGTGAAGATGGGGAGGAGGACATGGCTGAGGTTCTGATACCGAAAGTTAAACATCATGCTGGGGCGTGCGCCAGCACCAAGTTGGCGCTCGCAGGCGAAGCGGTGGCAGGACCTGGGCAGCAGCTACGGACTGTCGCTGCCGCAGCTGGCGCTGGCCTTTGCATTCCTTCCTGCCTGCGTGGAGAGGAGCCCCACGCCATTCATCGGTGGTTTTGAGGATGTTATAGCCCTCCAACTCAATGGGGGTTTCTTTCGGATTCAAAAGAAATCAAGGCAAACCTGTGGTTTTGAGATTGTCCCTTTGGTTTCCCACCATTTCGAATACTCCATCGGGGGTTGGCTTTTTTGGAGTTGCCCAATCAAAAAGGTGGTGTAGCGAGGGAAATCAAGGAACACGATTTTGGTGTAAACAAAGCAAGCAACCCAAGCCCTCCCACCAACCGAACAAGCCAAGCAGAACTGTGGTTGGTGGCAGACAAACATTTTCCACCGATGTTCCTACCCAACAAACAACACACAGCAGAGTCATTTCTGGATGCAGTTGTTGCTTTTAATTTGGACCAGGCTCGAGTCAAGCTGCTGTGCTTCCTGGCTTTGTTCATTCGGATTTTGGGTGTCTTGTGTTTATCTGTGAAACATCTACCAGAAGCACAGCGGGACTCTAAATCACTGAGGCGGAGGCGCGGGGGGATGAAACAGATGGTGTTGACTCATGCGAGTGCCGAAGAGCCAGACAGCAGGCCTCAAAATCGCCGAGAGGGACTCACCACGAGCGCCGTCCCACATGGGTGAAAGTACTCCTGCCTAAGTGATTTTGGGAGCCTGACCTAGTGGTTTCGCCCTCGAGGATAGCTATTGGCTGCGCCTCTCCGGAGCAGGTGCGCAGCAACGTTGGGTTTCTCGGCGAGCGGGGGAGGGGTTTGTGGTTTTGGAGCTTGGGATGGCTCATGAGTGGTCCTTTCTTTCAACGGCTTGGCGGGGGGGGGTCGGCCAAGCGGTGACCTCAGCCGGACCGCGGGAATGGTGTCTGAGGCTTTGCGGCGTCAAAGTTCCAGCGGAGCTGTGGCAAAGAGCGAAGGCTGAGGGCCTCTTGCCCGCGAGCATGGAGATCTCCTAGGACCGCTTGGGGCGGGTGAAGGGCAGCCCGGGGCCCATCAGGCGAACGTGCGTTGGCCTTTGGAATTGGTGAGCTCGTTCGGGGAAGGCGCTGTGTAGGCGGGCTGCTTTCTGGGATCTGGTCAGGGAGCTTGGCTGCAGCTCCCAGCCATCCATGCAGAAGCCTCGTAACCCAAGTGTCAATTTTGCTTCCGGGCGCCCCTTAGTAAAGTGTCAAGGGTTCCACTTGCAACACGCCGAGAAGCTGAGAGCCTTTGCCCTTTGTGCCAGTGTCGACTAGCAACCTACATTGCCAAGCCAACCTTCCGCCCACAACACCCAAACAGAGGCTTGCCCCTTGCACCGCTATCGGCGAGGACGGAGCTGGTGGCTGCGTCGTTTGGATGCGAGCGCCGGTGACCGTTTTGTGCGCCGTGGTCATGCCCTTTTGCCTGGGGATGGCCATTAAACCCTCAAAGAGTTGTTCAGCTTTGATTTTACACAAGCAATGTGAGGCGTCCCGTTCAGAAAGCCATGGCCATAGCCCACATGAGGAGTTTTGACGTGGCAAAAGCGCGAGGGAAGGGAGGGATTTGCGGCTCCCCCGAAGCACCCCGCTTTCAGCGGCCCCTGAAAGTCTCAATGCAGCAGACTTTGACGAGTCCCGAGCATATACCAATCCAGTATTGCACATCAACTTGCCGGGAAAAAAAACTACACGGTAAGCTATCCTGATAAATCCTTACCCTCTTTGCGAGAAGGCGACCACGGACGCATCGCCACGCAGATTTGTGGTGCTCCCCAACCCTCCAGACAACTTACAAGATAAGGCATTTGAACTGTTCTTTCGCTGGACGGACCCCTGCTTCAAGAAGGTGCCTGACTTGTCATTTTGAAATAAGCAGGTGTTTGACCAAGCCGGTTCTTTTCAACGGGGGCGGTTTTACCAACGCTGCCAGGCGTTGCCAGGCAGTCCCGCCGCGGTTCAGCCATGAAAGGCCCATAGCGCAATCGGGGGACGGGCCGGGAGCGACTGTCGCTCGCGATGGGGGACTACTTCCTAGATGTGGTGCTGCAGAAGAGCAGCGCGGAGCTCTTCAAGGAGCTCTACAGGCTGTATCCCCTGGCCTCTCAGCGCGAAATTTGAAACCGCGGAGTCTGTTTTTAAGGGGGTTGGCCCATAATGGGACGCACATGGCATGTTTCTGACCCCGGACAAAAGGAGGCACGTGTCAAAAACTGGTGGCAGGGTGCTGGGCAGGTGATGTGCGTCCAGACTTTTCGAGAAGTAGCGGCATGATTTTAGTGGAGGACATGTTGCCAATGGCGTGTGTAAGCCATGATGCCCCCCCCCCCCGGCATGACGCAACGAGGCTATTGTTGCGCAGGAGACAGGCAGCTTTTTCTTGTTCTTTGGCTATTGACGTTTTGGAACACTAATACTGTCGTTTCCCACCAACCTCGCTAAGGCCAGTTTTAGGCAGCTCAGTTGCCGAGGCAGAGGTGGAGGATTACTTCAAGGCTGGGCGCTGGCAGACTGAAGTCATGAGGATGGACATCCAGGCAGGGCTTTTTTGCGAAGCTTGCTCTGGCTGCCCTTTGTTTGAATAGTTGCATGTCGAGTGGCCAGGTTCTTTTGACCGTCAGCAGCTTTGTGGGTTCACGAGACCTTTTGGATGCAACGGGAGGGCGAGAGCCTTGGGAACAGGGGTAGAAGTCGGGGCTCCTCACGGGTAAGGCACCCTCTCCGAGGTTCGTGAGGAACCCGTGGCGTACCTCCCCCGCAGAAAGCCACCCTTGGCCCGGCATTTTCCAGCGAGCCTTACTTTCAGGGCACTGTTTTCCGGTGTGTCTGCGTGTGAGAAGGCAAAGGGACCTCACCCAACTTAGTGCTTCTCAAAAAGGAGGAATGGTTTCCTTTTGGATAAAAAGGCGGGGGTCCAACTTCCTCTGTTGAGAACCCTCCCCCCGCCAAATTACGGCTCCAGCCGGGTTTTGTCTCCTAGTTTCAGCCCCCCCCCCCCCCCAAGAAAATTTTGGTTTCCTTTTGGTTTTCCTAACCCAACTCCCCAAAGCCGGCCGTTGCCTCAACCGGCCAAGGAGGGTTCGGTTTTTTCAGGCTTTTTTACCCCCAAACCCCGACCCGGACGGACCGCCCGCTCGGCGCGGCGAGGCCTTCCACGCCCACCGGGAGGAGGCGGGCGCCCCCCCGGAGCCCTGAGCGCTCGAGGAGCTGAAGCTGCCGCCTCTGCCGCCGAGCGCTGGGACTAAAGGGTCGGTTTTTTCGGCGCTCGGACGGGGGGGGGGGGGGGCCTTTTTTGGGAGGCGAGCCTCCCTGCCCCTCACAAAAAAAAAAACAAACAAGAAGCAAGAAGATGGCCGGGTTTTTTGCTCTTGACGTGTCACCTTGAAAAAATCACCTGACAAGGGAGACCCTCACTCACTGAGTGTATGGACTTTTAGGCTTTTTGGGTGGCAAACAGTTCGGATGCTTTTTTAGGGCACACTCTGGAAGTGGTGGACTCCCCCAAACAATCAACATGGCACTCCAAA